TACTTCACCTGCTGGAATAATATCTGGAGTGACTGCTGTAGTTCATTAGGGTGAAGTGGCCCACACCCAACCCCAGCAGCAGCAGAGCACCTGGAGGGGCAGCTTAACAACTTGATAAACACTGAACACAGCCCTAATGAGGAAGGTTTCCATGAGGAAGCAGAGGATTTCGATGCAGAGCCCCAGGTGTGTCCCCACTGATATTAACTGGGCTGAGCCCAGCACTCTACCAGCCTTTAAGACTCCAGGAGACACTGGTTCTGTGCGAGGGCAGCTCACCACAGAGCCAGCTCAGTGCAATGCACGCCCCATGCAAGGCTGTGCTTGGGGAGCAGGGCCAGGGCTGCTACAGGCCAGGGTGCAGTGCCCTAGCTGGGCCATCACAGCCAGAGTGCTGGATCGGGCCTCTCCACCGTGGCAGTGCACAGCACCGCTCCATGCCATGTCTGCAACCTCACACAATGAAGCACCTGTTTCCCCCCCGCCATCCCCTTCGGGCACATGAGTGTCCATTTTCTCTCCTGCTGCAGTCTTCGTGGGGATGTGGCTGGTGATGATGGTTTGACTGATACTTCATTTCAGTAAAGGCTCTCGTACGTACCCCAGCCTCATGTGGTTTGTTCATCCTCACTTCAGATCGGGCAGAGGATGCTGAGCCATCCTCATCCCTTCACTGGCCACAGCCCCCATCTTCACCCCTCGGGATGGTCCCTGGCCCTGCCAGTCTGCTCCCACCCATGTCCTCCTCAGCTATGGGAGGCCTGCCACAGCCCGGAGCCAAACTCAGTGCCAGGCCCCACTGCAGCTGTCACAGAGGGACCGCAAGGACAAGGGAGCCCCAAGGCTGAACCGTGACTATCCCAGCTCTGCAGAGCCAGCAAAGGCCTTCCAGGGCCAGCAACTCCCCGCTCCCCTCCAGTCCTAACACTGACCCACCAGAGGGACACTCGCAGAAACCCACATGTCCTCTTTAATCTGCCCATGCCCTGAGATGCCAAACAGAAAGGAACGTAACCTAATCTAATCACCTAACCTAGAGCCAAATCCCACCGGATCCCAGCACACGCTGGGAGAAGTGCTGAGAAGAAGCCCCCTTCCTTTTTGCCCAAGGCCTTCACGAGCCTCCTACCAGCTCCGTAGGCCACCAACACAGCAGACACACAGCCCACCACAGGCCCTCCTCCCGCCACCCTCGGTGCTGCGGGAGGGGACACCCTCCCCACTGTCCCCTCTGCTCCTGGGGAGCCACAGCGGAGGCAACGTTAGCTGAAAAAGATCGCCCTGACATAGTTCAGAACAGCGTCCTCGGAGTCCCCCCAGCCTCTCCTCTCTGCGTCGGCGCCACCACCAGCGTCAGGAGGGGATGGCAGAGCCGGACTGCGGTCACTGCCTCCCCCGGTGCCGCCTGTGCTTCCAGGAGCCTCGTCTGCTGTTGGCTGGAGCGCCTGCTCCTCTTCGCTCCCGGACCGGGCCTTCTCCTCCTCTTCCTCGCACCGTCGATTCTGACCAAAGGGAAAACAACCGGACCCGGCTGTGCGCGACTTCACCCCGGGAGCGCTCCAAGGGGCAGGCGGGCAGCCCGGGGCGGCCGGGGGGCAAAGGCAGCTGCGCCGGCGCCGGCAGCCTCCGGGAAGGGGACGAGGGGACCGGCAAACCCGGGCGGCGCTCGGCAGCGCCCCCAGCGCCGCCTCCCGCGGAGGGGCCGCCAGGGAGCCGGCGGCGGGAGGGGGCCCCGGCCGCCCCCCGGGGCCCGCCCCCCCCCCCCGGGAACGAGCCACCCGAGCGGCCCTCTGGAGCTGGCCCCTTTGACGCCGCCACCACCACAGCCCGTCTCTCAGATGCCACCGCCTTACCCCCGTACACCTCCGAGCTGCA